AAAAAAAAAAAAAAAAAAAAAAAGAAAAAACCCAGGTTTTCCTCTATGTCATCTAAAACTATCACACTAACACTTCATTTTAGTTCATTCTTTTTTTCTCCAGGCTATAGCTACACATTCAGACTACAAATGACAAGAGGCAGGGGCCTCATCCTCATTATATTTGAAAAATGTTTCTAACAGAATAAGAGTGTTCTTACAGAACAAACACTGTAGTAATTAAGTATTCGCTGAATTTTAGGACTCAGTGTAGATAGAGCGTAGATACATTAGTTGGTCTCCAGAGAAAAAGATAAGCATCAGCCGGCTGTGCAACTTGGCATGCACTGCTGGGAGAAGAAGGTGTTAAAGTGGTTGCAAGGGAGAGCAAGCTGTGAGAGACCAGCACAAGCTCTGCACTTCTGTGAGAGGCCACTGACCCATGGGCAAGGGCAATTTCAGGGCTAGAGAAGTTCACCTGTGGTCTATTAGATATAACCCTTCCGTTACAGGTACCATCATTATTTAACATTACCACCCATTCTCTACAGAGCCACGAGAAGACAGCAAAGGGCCCTGCACACAGCCATGGCCTGTAATGTCTTTGGCTTTTGATACTAGATCTTCCTGCATGTGTCCCTCAAAAGCCACACATACCCTTCTGGTCACGTCAGCATACAGCAGCTGGGGGAGGAAAGGGCAAGGATGTTTTTTTTTGTGGGCAAACAAGAGCCTCAAGGGCTAAGTCACAACACCCTACCATAATTTTTATTTAGCACTCAGCAAATGGAGAGCCATTTATTGTCCATTGAATAGTTTGTAGAGCTCTGCTTTTGCTGAGTTTTATATGGAACTGAGCCAAAAGGAGAAGAAATAATTAACAGTCTGCCCTGTCCATATGTTTAAAATACACTGCAAAATGAAAACAGTCCTGTGGAGAGCTCTTTGCATTAAAGCTTTTTCATCATGCAGAGTTGGAATATTTTCTCTGTTCCTTAGGGGAAGACTTAGGACAATATTTGAGAAACCAGAGTTAATTTTAAGAACCTTTCTTTCAAACTGTTTCAATTCATTATTCAAACACTGTATGTCTATATAAAAATAGAATTAATTTATAGTGCATTTTGAAATTATTTCAGATGTTCAGAATACTAAGGAAGAACCAAAATGAGTCTGGACTCAGATGGTACAGCCTGGAAAACAGAATGGTTCATGTTTATAGCCAGATTTGGACTGAAACCTTATGGTCTAGACTGATTCATTTAAAATATAGCTGGTATCACCTGATCTATAACTACTTAAAGCAACTTAATGGGTTTGAATTTCTTAGGAAAGAAATGATAGGAGTTAATAATAGGAGTTCCCTGTATGACAGGGGAGGAATTCACGTCAACCCTTATTGTCATGAAATGAAGCATACCCACATGTGTGCTGCTTATTCCTGTTTAAACAATTAATTTCAGAAAATCTCCTCAGCAATCAACATAATACATCCTCCACTCCTATCAGCACTTGTTGGCCTCATTATCAAGATCATTGCAATTGCTTTCTGGTGAATCATCAGTGCAAAGCAAACAAGATCCCAGCAGAACCAGTCTAAAAATGATCTGCACCTCATTGAGCAGTTGTGACTGACCATACAACTAGTTCCCAAGGCAAACTCCAGTTGTTGTGACAATGGTCAACCTGTGTCCCCTAGCTTACCCTTAGGGGCCAATTACTCTTGGTCTATCTGCTACCCATCAGCTTTTTGGCAAAGATAGGAAAAGTTTCTTGTAATAAAAGCAAGAATAATAAAGTTGTTTGGCTGGGTTTTTTGTTTTTTGTTGTCATTGTTTGGTTTTTTTTTTTCACATGAAGGATCTGCACAAAAAGCCAAACTTTCTCTCTTGACTATCAGTTGCTTCCCCAAGGCTTTTCTGGCATCAGTAGTCTATGAAAGTTAAGTTGGCATTACCAGTTTGGTCTAAGACAGAGTCCAAGGCCAGCCATCCAACAAAGGCCTAGTTGTATACTGTTGATAATCTGCACAGAGAAGCTGAGCTCTGAACAACTTGCAGGCTAGTTGGACTCATGTTCAGCAGCCCTTTGGACTCACGTTCAAGTCTACTGGCAATGTCAGGTGGAGATTTCACTGGGACAATCCAGCATGCACCAGCAGACTTTTACTCTGATCCTTCATTCATCTGTCACCTTGCAATGCCTATATACTCCAAGCAAAGCCTAGCCATTGGGGTTGGCTGGACAGGGATCAAATATCGCTAGTGGAATCCCAAAGATTTGCCTGTGCAGGCACTGTTGGGTAAGCACATGGGCTGTCCTTAGGGGGAAGCCACACAAGTGTCAACGCTTCTCTTCCACTGGCACAGAGGAGATAAATGCTTCTAAATACCTACCACACTCTCCCAGCCCAGTCTCTGCCTCATCTCACTGCCCCAGGGCCTCACTCCCAGCTGCAAATGCCAGAATACAGTGACATAGCACAGATTTCACTATCCTTTTATTTCCCTGGTAACTGGAAGGTCAAAACAAATTGAATTAAAGAACTGTGTGGGGAATTCAGTAATTAAAAGCTTGTGAATTAGTGTAAAAGTTAATCACAAAAATAAATAGTTAACCAGTAATGACACTGCATTAAGGTAAGAACCCTATATGTTACATCACATAACAGCAGCTGAGGGAGCTGAAGCCACTGAGAAACCATAAGTCAGTATTAGAATCCAGGAGAAAATCCATATTGCTGTGGTCTAGCTCTGGAGCAGTGAGGGAGCTGAGTTGCAGCCACAGGTGACATCCTGACATCCTCCTTAACTTGCATTGAACCATCGAATCATAGAATGGCTTGGGTTGGAAGTGACTTCAAGGATCATCAAGTTCCACCCCCGTTGCCACGGACAGGATTGCCAGTCACTAGATCAAGCACTAAATTAAATTGCCCAGGGCCCCCTGCAACCTGGCCTTAAACACCTCCAGGGACGGGGCATCGGCAGTCTCTCTGGACAACTTGTTCCTGCACCTCACCACTCTCTCTGTAAAAAACTTCTCCCTGACATCTAATCTAAATCTTCCCCCCTTTAGGTTAAAACTATTCACCCTTTTCCCTATCTACCCCTGTAAAAAGTTGATTTCCCTCATGTTTATAAACTCCCTTTAAAAACTGGGAGGCTGCAATGTTGTCTCCCTGACGCCTTCTATTTTCCAGGCTGAACATGCCCAGTTCCTTCAGTCTATCTTTGTAATATAGGTATCATCTGAGCATGATGTGTGTTCCTTGGGTGCCATCTGACATCATAAGGCAGTGACCTGAGGCATAGGAGGCAGGTGAAACAGTGGGACAAGAGGTTGGAAGTCTGTCCTGCAACAACCACTCTGCTATAAGTAAAGCTGTTTGCCTCAGGAATCAGAATGCTGAATGTCACTCTTCACACACAAAAGAAAAAGGAGGTGGTGGGGAACTAGGAATACTCACTGTCAATTCAGTAATGTCATCTAAATCATCCTGTCTTGATCTCCTCCAGAGGGGAAAAGCTGGCAGGCATCTCTTGACAGCTGAGTGGGAAGGTCCTGCAGAACAAGTTGCACCTCTTCTTCCTTCCCATGAAGAGCAGGGTCAAGTAGAGAAGAACTCTTTGGGCATCCCAAGTATTTTCCCAGCAGCCCTACTGCTTCTGAAGGCAAAAAGCAATCATGTCTTTAAGATTCAGACCTAGTGACACAAAAAAAAAAAAAAAAATAGAGCTAGATGAGAGCACTGAGGGTCATACAGTCATAGAATGGCCCAGATTGGAAGGGACCTTTAAAATCATGTAGTTCCAGCCTCCCTGATGTGGGCAAGGTTGCCACCCACTAGATCAGGCTGCCCAGGATCCCATCAAGCCTGGCCTTGAACACTTCCAGGGATGGGGCATCCTCAGCCTTTCTGTGCAACCTATTTCTGTGCCTCACCATACTCGAAGTGAAGAATTTCTTCTTAACATCTATCCAAAACATCCTTTCTTTCAGTTTAATCCCTTTGCCCTTGTCCAATCATTCTCTACCTCCATAAAAAGTTGGTCCCCCTCTGCTTGTAAGCTCATTTCAAGTATTGGAAGATCACAACAAGGGCTCCCTGGAGCCTTCTGTTCTTCAAACTAAACAATCCCAACTCCTTCAGCCTTTCATCATAAGAGAGCTGCTCCAGCCCTCTGATCGTAGCCCTCCTCTGGAACCACTCCAACAGTTCCACATCCTTCTTGTATTGGAGGCCCCAGGCCTGGGTGCAGTACTCCAGATGGAGCCTCACAAGGGCAGAGCAGAGGGGTACAATCACTTGCCTTTCCCTGCTGACCACCTTTCTTGTGATGCAGCCCAGGATACTGTTGGCCTTCTGGGCTACGAGAGCACACTGCTGGCTCATGTCCAGAATTTTGTCCATCAGGACCCCCAAGGATCACACCAGTGCAGCCAAGCAGAAGCATCTGTCCAAAGAGCCCTCTGCAGACTCAAAGCCACTGTATGAGGTGAGCGTAGCCTGGATGAGAACAGTTGGCAGGCTGCAGGTAGCTGCCAGTAAATGTTTGACGGGTCTGGAAGTGTTCCACAGCCTAAACAAGCAGTGCTTAGGCTTTAAACAAAATCAGAATGTCTCTATGTGGGTAAGTCTCTGCATCTAGCATTCACTTTTGAGCATTAGTCACGGAAGGATTTTCAGTGACGGAGAAATCAGCCTCAAGGTAAGCAAGGAAAAGATATACAAGCAAGATATTAAAGTTACACCAACCTTCTTTAAAAAAGGAAATGCTCCATTCTGAAGCAGCTGGAAGAACAGTTATGCTGTACGTAAACCATAGGCCTCAAAGCTAGAAGAGGCACCTCCATTATGTTCTGAAGTACCTTCCTCAGGGGAAAGCAGATGTCAACAATTATTTGCCATACAACTGACAAAGTGAAAAAAGAAACCTTAGCTGTTGCCAAAACTCTTCATATTTTCTTTCTGCTAGATCAGTCTGATCCTGCTGGGGTGACTGGGTTGAAACAGTACTGTCCTTTACACAGCCACCTTTCTGTAGCCCTTGGTTGCTGAATTTTCTACTGGTCCTTCAGGGCACCCAATCTAAAAGGGTAGAAGGATGGTTTGTCCAACCTTTGCTAATTTGAATTTATTATACTCAGTACTGTCCTTCACCACTGCATAGCTGGGGGATTTCAGTAACCGTGGTGTTTAAACACATAGACAATGCACAGCAAGTGTCTGCTTTGCCTGTAATGCACTTTTTCCCATAACACTAAATGAACTCATTTTCTTAAAACTGAGATCTTTCAAATTCCAGCTGTTTTTTTGGATATAAACTCAACATTACGAATCATGTCACATCGCATCTTAATCTAGCAGGTTATAAAAATAGAAACCATCAACAGCTGAATGTTTTCTGGGTGCTTAAACAGCTACATTTCCTGAGCCCAAATAGTAGCTATGTTATTAATAAGTAGAGCAATACAGTCCAAACATTGCCAAACCCACATCAGCTCAGATACACTAGTAAGCTTTGGAATGAAATAACACAGGTTACTTATCTACTTTTTGCAGTAAATGAGATTTTAAAAGCGAGGAATGCATCTTCTAGTAATATGAAGTTAAAAAATGTTAAGAAAGAGTTGATTAGTAGGAGAACTAAGTTTTCTGAAGTCGTTTTGTTTACAACAGTAAACTCCACCCTAAAAATGGTACAATTTACTCTATAACCTTCATATTGTCAGGTCTCAGAGTGACTTGACATATGAACAGGCTGATACTTCTAATACAGGCTGCATTAAAACTACTGTCCATTGGATAGGAAAAGCCAGTAAGCTTTCCATGTTGGAACTCGATTATTTTCCACTGGTTCGAAAATCTTCTGAGCTTACAGATACAGGAGTTCTGATAACTAAACTAGACTCTTATTTGAACCATTAAATCACAGCACAGCCCCCAGTTCAGTAAATGCTTAAGCACCAAATCTGAGCTTCAGTGCCAAATAAACAAGTGTATCATACTGTTTTGCCATTTAGGCTGCTATACAAACTGAAATAAAGCACGTCTAGCTTAATGTGTACATTAAACATTCTGTGTAAGCATACAAAATTACAATCTTAGTGTTCTGTAATGAAATCATGCCGCTAGCAATAAGCTCAGCATAAATCTTCCTGCTTTCTCAATGAGAGAGTGACAGACTTCTCTGAAATCTGCTCTACAAAAACAATAAAATCGTGAGGTGGCAGAAAAAGCAAACCTAGGCGGCCAGTCCTCAGTAGAAAAACATTTTCATGCTTCTAGAAGTCAGGTTTCTATATATGTTCCCATCATGAGACCCTTCCCTGTAACTTTCCTTCTTTCAACACATTCCTCTAGCTGTTGAATAGCAGATCCTGCAATACTTAGCATCATTGCAAGTTATGACTTAATTGCCACCATTTGATATGTATAGATTCATGGCTTTTTGCTGACTTCTTGGAGTTTTCATTCAAGATACCAATTTCTCATGCAGGAAAATCAGAAAACTAAATAGCATTTAGAATGCCCAAAACATATGATCTTGGCTTTCTTTCATAAACCAGAAGATGGATGGTCTGTAGTATTTACAAATGATGTACATCAAGAAACCCACAAGGGACTTGTGTTGCTCCTCTAAAAACACATGCTAAAGTGCCTTGGTGATGTCTGCTTCTTGCAAAAAAAAAGAAAAAGAAAAAAAAAAGAAAAAAAGCAACGAAAGCCCCATCAACCAACCAATCAACCAAAACCCCTCTCTTTTCAGCCCATCATCACATCCATGGCTTTCATTAATGATTATCAGACCTAACTAGTCAGTGCCTATGCCCATCCCTGTCACATGGATCAAACCCAGACCTGAGGACAGAGCAGAGTCTTCATCCACCTTTTGGGCACTGCTTCCCTGTGAGCAGAAACGAGCACTGCTCTCCCAACAAGGTGCACAGCACCACAGCCTTTCCAAATAGACACACAAAAATTGGCTAAGGATAGATGGGTTTTCAGAGCCTAGAAGGCAGCAAGTTGAGCCTCATCTCTTCTGGTTCTGTCTGGAAGGCCCTGTGTTGGCACCAGTGCTAATCCACAAAGAGGTAGGAAGAGTCTCAGCCAGGATAGGACTCAAACCTGTGCTTACCCAAGCATTTAGACATGCTCAGAGAGGCATGGGTAAGTGCTCTCATGTCCCCTTGTCTTCCACTTTAGCTTTATCAACCTTCATTTAACATGAAAGAACTCAGAGGGAGCACAGTGCTTCATGAAGCCTGCTTGCACCTTGTGCTTCAGTAGCCCCAAGCAAGCTTCTCTTTCAACTTCTTTCCCTCAGCTGTTGCAGGCAGCTGAGCCCTGTGAGCTGTCAAGGCCTTCGAGCATTGTCTCCTTCTGACTCCAGGGAGTAGAAGGCCCCCAGCTTGTGCCGGTAGACTCTTGATCTTTGATGCCTATTGGCAAGGATGGCTGGGGAGCCACCAAGCTCACTGTGTGTCCCTGCTGGGCATGAAGCCTCTCCCTGGGGTTAAAGAGTCCATGTGTTCTCTCATCTATTGTTGGTTTAAAAAACAAAGCCAGGGAAGTGGTATTTTAGTTAGGAGGGATGATATCCTAAGGAAGCATGCATTAAGTAATAGGCCGTTATTGCTTTTGCATTAAGGCTGAGAAGTAGGAGGAATGAGGCAGGTAGAAAGGCTGGAAAAGCAGACCTAGAACAATGTGGAGTGAACAAACCTGATCTGCTGTGCTAGACACCGATAACAAGGATGCATCTCTTTCATTTGTAGGCTCTGTGCTTTTCTGATTAGCACAGTCACAGGTGAACAGTTGGTGGGGAAGCCTGACATAAAGCTAAAAGCAACAAAGAGTTAAAGCTGCTGGCTGATTGCAGGATTGCTTAGAACCTCATTAGTTTAATTTTGTCTGGAGTGCAGTTCTTAGTTCGGAGCTTAGAGCTTTTGGAAAACCTATTCCTCATTTTAGGTCAGAAACATGCTATTCTCATGATATTATTGAGTATATGTGGAGCATATTATTCAGCCCATGGCTCCTCCCATAATTTCTGTTTTTTCTAGTCTTGCATGCAACTCTCTGTCTGTGGAATATCAATGTTGCAATAGCCCTAAGGAGAAAACCTTAATTTAAAAAACAAAAACACAGAGGTAGTTTCACAGAGATCTTTAACTGTGTCTTTCTGCCGATGGCTAACTGAAGCAAGTGAAATGAAGTGCTGCATTGCTGAGCTACACTCAGATAACACTACACCAAAGAAATGTTACATTCAGTTAAAAAGAAGAAAAAGAGCAAGTCCGGGGCACTAGAAAACATTTGTCACTGCAGATAGAATGTGTCCCAGCTAATCTAGTCAAAAGAAAAAGAGAATAATTGAGCTGTCATTTTGGCACTCAAAAGCTCCCCATTTATTTTAACCTGAATTGTAGCTAAGTTGAATTTTTGAAAGCAAAGAGATTAGCTTCAACTTCCTCTATTTTTTTTTCATTCAGTTGTGAACCCAAGGCTATGGTATTCAGCTACCTAGGAAGCAAAGAAAATCACTGTTAGATGTGACCAGCAGCCACTACAATCCAATGAAGTAACATCCGTGACTTGGTGCAGGCCTCTGGAGAGCATGTTTTATCTCTAGGAGAGGCGCTTTGTGTTTTTCACTCCACACCCCCAGCGCTACTCAGTCAAATAAGAGTTGTTGAAGC